TCAAATGAAGGGCCACGCCCTCTTTCAAGGGGAGATAATAAAGAATTAGTGAAAAATTAATAGCATCTTTTAAAAATCTTCTTCTCAAGAACCACAGGGCCAGGGAAGATGAAACTCATGTGGAAGCATCCTCAGGTAGTGTAGATTCAAGTTTGTTCAAATCATGACCCCCGGGGGTAGGGCGGGGCCACAGTGGAGGATCAAAGTTTTACATAGAAATATATAGGAAAAACCTTTAAAAATCTTCTTCTCAAGAACAGCAAAGCCATGATGAGTCATATTTATCTGGAAGGATCCTCAGGTAGTGTAGATTCAAGTTTGTTCAAATCATGACCCCCGGGGGTAGGGCGGGGCCACAGTGGAGGATCAAAGTTTTACATAGAAATATATAGGAAAAATCTTTAAAAATCTTCTTCTCAATAACAGCAGAGCCATGATGAGTCATATTTATATGGAAGCATCCTCAGGTAGTGTAGATTCAAGTTTGTTCAAATCATGACCCCCCGGGGGTAGGGCGGGGCCACAATGGTGGATCAAAGTTTTAGATAGAAATATATAGGAAAAATCTTTAAAAATCTTCTTCTCAGGAACAGCAAAGCCCTGATTGATCATATTTATGTGGAAGTATCCTCAGGTAGTGTAGATTCAAGTTTGTTCAAATCATAACCCCCTGGGTTAGGGTGGGGCCACAATGGAGGATAAAAGTCTGAAATAGAAATGTATAGGAAGATATCTTCTGATGAAGAACTGCAAAGCCATGATTAGTCATTTTGATATGGAAGCATCCTCAGGTAGTGTAGATTCAGTTTTGTTCAAATGATGACCCCCGAGGGTAGGGTGGGGCCCAATAGGGGGATCGAAAGTTTTACATAAGAACATATAGAAAAAAATTTCTTCTCAAGAACAGAAAAGCTATGTTTAGTCATATTGATATGGAAGCATCCTCAGGTAGTGTAGATTCAAGTTTGTTCAAATGATGACCCCTGGGATAGGGAGGAGCCACAATGGGGGATCAAATTTTTACAAAGGAATATGTGGGAATTTTTTTTAAAAATCATCTCAAGTACAACAAAGCCATTTGTTATATTGACATGGAAGCATCATCAGGTAGTTTAAAATTCAAGCCCCCCCCCCTTCCCCCCGTAATCTTTTCAATACTGAACTGATTTGTGCTTCTGCCTTGCCGGTGTGCTCAGGTGAGCGATGTGGCCCATGGGCCTCTTGTTAACACTATATGCAATCATTCCCCACGATAAATTAAATTCCAAGCTTTTTGACATCATAGAGCTTGCTTTTTCAATAAAAATGGAACTCGTAAAATTACTTACCTTGGTCATTTGCAAAATCATATTGTTAAAAACACTAGAGAAAGACGTAAATGGTAACCTAACAACAAAACATTATGATAAATGTGATGACTTCAACTTTTCTATTGTCATTTCCCTTACTTATGTAGTAATTTTTTACCTGCATATGGGGTTTATATCTCCCAGTTGAGTAGATACGCAAGAGTATGCTCTAAGTACGAACAATTTCTAAAACGAGGCAAACTATTGACAAACAAGTTGATGAAACAGGGATATCTACAGTCTCGTTTAAAGTCATCACTTAGCAATTTCTACGGTCGATACAATGATCTTGTCAGGAAATACAATCTATCATAAATCGAATGCTGATTGACGTTTTTCATACTAATTATTAGGCCATTATTTAAACACTGATTTTTCCGTTTGCCCGATCATGACAATGAGCACACGGTGTGACCGGTCGACAGGGGATGTTTAAACTCCTTCATGCACCTGATCCCAACTCTGATGTTTTTTAGAGGTCTGACTTCGCTCTGCTCCCGATTTGTATTGTTTCAATGGACGTTTGAGCTTGATTACTGTTTTTATCTTCATATTTCAATTTGTCCATGTCCCGTCTGCCCATGTGCTAGAGAAGAGGAACACTTTCACAAAAGACACATATTAGCAACACGTATTTATTCTACTCTTATGCTGAGTTGATTGGTACTTATCCAAATGAGACTGTGCACCAAATTCTCCAAGGATATACTGATTTCCTGTAAATCTTTTATCATGTTGTAAATTTAACACAACACGATAACGCTGTAAAAACATGGTCGAACAAAGTTGGAAAATGCTTAAGCTTCAAGTGACGTGTAAACTATTCAAATCCAGTACATGTATTTATAACAAGTTCTTATTATTGAAAGGCACGAAATTATGACAAACAGAACTTTTCCGCGGAAAATTATCTCAGCAAATATTATTCTATGGTTAAAAAGTGTGCTGATTTCTCGGAATTTGAACCCAAGCGATAACAATTCTGGGTATCAGCTTTTACTATGAGAGGCTGTCAAGTTACACTAGACCACACAACTCACAACAGGTAGTAGTTTTAATCTTGTTTGTGATAGGCCCTTTGAATAACTGGATTTCAAATATTTCTTGGAAAGGTATAAATGTTATGTTATAAAAGTGTAGGTACAGTGGGTCCTTGTTCCATGATTTTGTTTTCAATGAACTGTAATGTAGTCCTGTGGTTTTTAAGAGCTAATTAATTAATACTATCCACAACGGATGGTAAGCATAGAAACCCAACAAAATATATGTATATTTTTACGCATTCTAGTTCTTTAAAGATATACTCAATAAAAAAGGGGAGAAGACCTTCTCTCTTTTGGAAAAATTGTGTTATAGAAGGAAGAAATGATCATTTGTGCCCTCTTCCGTATTTGCATGCTATTTCATAGACAAATAATTTCAATACTTGTATTTGTAAGAGTGTAGCAAATTGAGGACATTTTGTATAAGGTACATGTATAATATATATGTACCTTAATGTTAACTGAAATTTCAAAGAAAATTTCGTTTTTATTGAGATTAATTTTACTTAAAGGGGATGGGACACATATTTTAAACTCAAATTTTCTAAATAATATCATGACATATATGTTGCTAGAGCATTTCACACCGAAATATATTAAAAGCGTGTTAAGAAAATTCTTTTATCTGGGAAGTATTAAAACTTCGATTTTCGGGACGCGTTTAATTGACACATATCCTTGCACTCTCACAAAGTAGACTTTATCCATTATACTAAAGGCCGGTGTACACGACGAGATTTGTCGTATAATACAAGTATTATAATACTTTTGTATTTTAATTCTTTCTTGTACACACGCTAATACATATCTTATAAGATTGTAAATAGACTTTAGGTATTTCCACGTGTTTGCCCCCGCCATATTTCGCTTGATAATAATTAGAAACAGTTTGATTAAACAATATGTTCCCAGAATTTAAATTGAGAAAGATTACTAGAACCTGTGCACTTGATATATTTCACAAATCTTCTTCTCCTTCCCATAAAACTACGAGTTTTTCGATATCTTTACAGCTTAAGTCGGCCATCATTATTTACCATGTGCTTTTTTTTAGTAATGATAAAAATAGGATGACCCCAGTGTGAGTACATTTGATTGGTTGAAAGTGAAATGGAAGTTAAGACTTGTATTAAGAAATAGAGCATTGCTCTATTCTTAATACAGTTTTATAAGATTCGAAAAATCTTATGATTCACTGTATTAAGGGTGTATACACAATAATATAAGATTTTGTATCATAATACAAATCTTATAATACAAATCTTACCGTGTGTACCGGCCTTAAAGGAAAGTAGAAATTTTGTTTTGTATTAATGAAAAATATGAAAACTATAATCCACAAAAGTTCAGAGTGGAAATGGAGAAAGCAAAACCAACTCACAAGTATTATCAGTCAGTGCTTAGTGATGTGTGCAGACGTGATGTTATGAAGAATGTCGTTGTCATTGATTTCTTAGAATATTCTTGTAAATTCAAATCATTAAACATTGAATTTTTTTAAAAATAAAAATAGACCTTTAAAGTTGTCAACAATGCAACTGTACGTGTCCAGGCCCCTTTAATTTGTCGAACTATAGGCATTTTTCTCGCTTATTAAACCATTTTCTTTATATTTACCCCTTCCCCCAATGATGCTTCTAAAATATGGTGTTTAATTTCTCGCTCTGATCGTCAACATCTTTTATTGGTTACTTTGCTTGAAAATGTATAAAAATTAAATGGATACTATCACTCTGTTGGACAAACTTCCTGACATGGTTGAACTTTTTCCTTGAATTCATACTCCAGTATAACTTTATATTCCGGTTAATACAATGACACATTTATCAAAGTATGTTCTACATAGAAGCCTCTTTTAATATAAAACAGCAGTTAAAGATTTCATATTGCTGTCAAAAACTACATTGTATACACGAGTAAATAAGATTTTAAAATTTTATATACATGTACCTGATTACCTGCGATACATATATATAGTGTAATCTTGTAATAATATTAATGAAATAAGCTAATATATTTTTCGGAATTTCGATAAATAAAGTACTGAGAAATAGACCCGTCGCCACTTAATTTCATGTATACATACAGTTACAATTATAAACCGTAAAGAAAAAAAAGAAGAAAATCCAGCCACGGCGATTATACTAATGAGGTCAATCCAACATCCAATTTGTTCAAATAATGATAATTAGAGGAAACGATCAATACAGCCATTAAATCGATATTTATTCCCTGAATTATTTTCTATTTAATCATTGAACTGTTAAAAGAGAGTTCATAATTTATTTGTTTAATTTTTGACAGGTATATGATATTTTAAGATTAGCGACTTCCAGTTCAACTCAAAAGCGAAGTCTTTCTGTTTGTATTTAATGGATTATATTTCATTATTCATATACATCCAGTATCATATGGAATGTCTTTCACCAAATGACAATGAGTAATAACTAACCATGCATGCATTCATCTATAATTAAAAATTCACGAAAGACACTCCATAGAGTTATCCTGCATATGTTCCTTGTTCAGAATAGGAACCAAACTTAAGGATTCTCAGGCGCACAATTGATCGCTGCAGGAATGGGAAGTGCAGAGGCTTGACTTTTTGGTATAGTCTGGTAATGTCAATCAGGCATTCACTGAAATAAAACGCAGAGAAAGTGACGCTTTATGCCTACCTCTCACAATGTGGTGTCAAGAGCAGAAGCATGTTAACACATCTTAGACTTTATGTGATAGGCGGGATCTTTGGATAAACGATACAACATGGAGTGAGGAAATATTGCCAGCTGCTTAAGTTGAAGGGTAAGTGTTTTGCCAGTTATATTTTCTATGTTTAATACTGATGTAAATTTGGATTTTTAAACAATTCTCTCTCTGCAATCATTATTATACTAAAAAAATATACAAAGACAGTTGATTGATAAAATAATTTAAAGGATGAACAAAAAATGAACATATTTAGTGTAACAGAAAGAGGATGCCAGTATTGAAAATATACAATAGAAGATGTGGAACGCACAGCAAAGGGGTAGACAAATTACAATTATAAACTTTTACAATCTTTTTTGAAATTTATGGGCTTTAAAATGGATGTTAAGTTTTGAAATATTTTAACCCTGGAAATAACTTCAATTATTTTGTAAACAGAACTGTAGTCGTAATGTAAATGGTGGGAGAGGGATAATTAGCAACACGTAATCAGCTACAGACTGAAATCTTGAAAGGCAAAAACTGAACCACTATTTATATTGAAGATAAAACCTGTTTGAGTAAACGGTTTACGACTCTTTTGACAGCGCTTTTACATATCATATATTAAAGCTCCGAATACTAGTATATATGAACAACGAATTGGGCGGGGGGGGGGGGGGGGGGGGTTAGAATATTCATAACTTACCGCTATGGAAACCAGTTTTACATATTTTTTGGCAACATGATCAGCTGAAATTCTCACTAAACAAACGGAAAAAGATTAATTGACATTAAACAATAATCGACAACTCCACAGAAATGATAAAACCATTGTTTGATTTTCGTGATTTGTTTTGGCACGGCTTTGTGTACAGATCATCAATTTTCAAACCAAACCCAAACTGTTACGGAAAACTGCAGTACAAGACAGACGCTACACATTCTTCTGCTTTCTCTCTCTCTCTCCTTTTTTTTTTTTTTTGGTTTGGTATGGCACTGGTATTGTGCCTCTGAAAAAATTAAAACATTTTCCTTGCTTGCTCTTTAAATCATATTGAAAGTCGTGTGAAAATAAGGTGCGTTTTTTCTTTCAAATTTTATTTTTGCTTTAAAGTTAAATTTTTGAAGATGTATCTTCTGAATTCAATGAGCAATTTGCGAGATTTAAAAAAAAACAAAAAACAACTCAAGTTATTTTAAGTAAAAAAGAAAAACCCAAAACAGATATATGGAAAATGATTGATCGAAGGTTCTAATGCATATATGTAATTTTTAGCATATTTTGTCAGATTTCAATCTGAGTGAGCTTCCCTTGGTTTATTATTTCGTTTTTTTCTTCAGAAATGAACAATTCTTGGCACATTCCAAATGTCTCGACATTAACATATTTGAAAGAAAACATTGAGACATGAAAATTAAATAATAAATAATGATTAGAAAAGAAGATTGATGATTAAAATCCGAAAATTTCCTTAAAACTGGATAACAGAAAGAAAAATGAGAGATACTATCAAAATGTTAATTAATTAAAGAGATTCTTCTCATTTTTTAAATCAGAAGTATCATAAACAATTCATGTATCTAAGGATTTTAAAGAATGGATGTTAATAATCTGTAATATGCGAATTGTATGAGCAATAAAAAGAGGATCAATAAAAACCTAACTATAACTCATATCATTTACACTGTGATATAAATGTACTCCCACCCCAAAAAAGGGAGGAAATTCGGGGGAAAAATCCTGCTGTAGCTCTACTGGTTTGTATTTTTAATAATCGACCAACAGAAGTTTTACTGAAATCATTCCAAAACTGCAGTAGATGTAACATTTCGAAACAACATATTTTTAGCGGCATTGGTAAAAATGTTCAGCAAAGAAATGTGGACTTCGTGTAGAATATCTGTAAATCATGCTTTCTGGAAATTAAACAAAAACGTGGTCAGATTAGCGTTTTGAAAGAATTTCACAGAAAGTTTGAATTTTAGTAACCATGGCAACAACATTCGCTGAATACAAAAACTGATTTTGCCAATGCATCTTAGTGTAATGTAATCGAGTACCAAGTTCTGTATAAAAATTGGACCAAAAACTGTAGGTGGAATAGCATTTGAAATATTCATTATAGACAGACGTACAAGCCACGAGGACTTTAATACTTGCATCCATCCAGAGTTAAAGGGGATACATATCTTGTTCTCTGTTTAGGAGGAAAATGTATGAAGGCAATGATACTTTGTACATTTACATGTATACAATGAAAACGGATGTTTAAGAAAGAAAAACATTGGAAGTGTTTCATTGATCTTATAATGCAACACATCAAAAACCTGTTAATGTATCACATAATAAATAGTTATACTGTTTGTTTTGATTCGCTGTCTTTGACGATTCAGTTAAGCTAAACACAAAAAGGAAATTGCGGCAATTTGTTTAAGAGCAACAAATGCATCACACATGTTCCTCTATTGAAAGTTAATTGAAAAGGAACTGCGGATCAGCGATGACGTAAGTAATGTCAAAAATCACACAAAAACTTTAAAAAAAACCCAGTTAATCATTTAGCTGGACAAACATATTTAATCAATGTTTAAAATAATGCACAGATTGAAGGATTCCTCTCATACTAAAACGGTCTGAAAGAAGTACAGTGGCGCCTCGTTAATCCGGACGCCTCCGTCCCCAACAAATCGTCCGGATAAATGAATCGTCCGGATAAGTGAATCACTTCTTAAAAGACGTACCCTCTTAAAGCATGTACATATGAACATAGTGGTATCAAATGTGAAGGCAAAGAAAACACTTTTATTTTACCTTGATTTATTGATTTTATTTTTATAGTTTTAAAAGAAATAATAAATATTTAAAAAAGAAAAAAATTAAAATGTAATTTACACGATGAAAAATGGATAGGCAGTTTTATGTTGAGACTTCCTTTTCTATAACACAGGAAACTTTACTCGCCTTCTATTTGACGTGTAGTTACATGTACATGGGCTGACCAAATTTTGATCTGCTACTGTTTTATTTCGGCACTTTTTTTTAATATTTATTCAAGCTCATATTAAGTAGAACTGTTCATTATCACCATTGAGAATGTTCAAATGACTAACCGCGTATATTCACTACATAGGGAAGTAAGTAACTAAATACTGTAATCAGTGTACGTATTGCAAACATTCAACGTAAACACAAGCCATATTCAGGATTATCAGTACTTTTTCTATAAACGCTAAGTTATATAAGTTGAAAAGACGTGATCGGCATTTATAACTAACGCCAGTTACGTATTTCTTAGTGCGTTAATAGAAATATATTTTCTTGAATTATGTATCATAATAAATTGTCTTATGAAAAGAAAAAAAAACGTTTCAAATAATGTACGATCGTATTTTGATAAACTTACGTAACTCGATACCACAACGAAATCTCGTGATTTATTATTCAGTAAACATTTTATTTACAACTCTCCAAAATTCTCATAAATCTATATACCGTTAGGCCAGGTAAAATTAATCTTTAGATTCTCATCCCCGCCCGCCCCTCTCAAAGTGCCCCGCCCCGTTGTTTTTTTATTTTGCTTTTTGAGTGTCAAATGTATTATTTTCATGTATTTTTATTCAGCAAGAATCTGGGTCAAAATTTAAGAGTTATCTCCCGTCTGTATTAAAAGTCGCGTGGCGCTATTTATAGCAAAAAAACTATGTGAAGAATGGAGAAAAATCGGCAATAAAAGCAGTTTAAATATGTAAGGTAAAGATAATTTGTCAGTATAGAGAAGGCAGAAAAGCAAAAAATAACATAAACACATCTAGATACCATCACTGGCATGAACAAGTTTTTAATGAGATTTTAACCAAGTAAAAACAGACGAAGAAAATGACACATGGTCAACCGATCTCCAGTTATATGTGATTTTGCATTAAAAAAAAAAAAATAAACATCGTTCAAAGACTTTAGAGAATGATAGTGCTAAGGAATGTATAAAATCTTAAAACTGTTCAGGCCTAGGCTTTTCAGTAGAATATTTTACACAGATTTACAAAATCCTGTTTTGCAAATATGATATATTTTAATGTCGAACATATCAAGTCTCAAGAACGATTGAATGTATGAGGACAGTGGAAATCTGTGATATATCACACAGAACAGAAGTTGTTGGTAAGACTATAAGGTACTTGGGGAAAGGCCGATGAGAAAACATGCATATGCAATTTATTAAAATCAGCACCTCATTTAATTTGGCGTGTGCCGTATCTGTGTACTTGATAATTTGTTAATAAAACTATAATTAATTTTCTATAACAAGAATCTTCTGTAGATATTTAAAAGAATATGAAAACAATAAAATCTATTCATATTGGCATTAACATAATGTAAAAATTATGTGTACTAATGTTTTGTTGATACTTTCATTTATAAAAAATAAAAAATAAAATCCGCCCACCCGCCCCAATTTTTAAGCAAATTAGGATGAGAATCTAAATTTTAAATTTATGTGGCCTTAGCAATTTAATTAATGCACAGTATAAGCTAAATTCTTCGGGTTTTATGATATAAAAGACGTGTGTTTTAGCTGAGGTAAACACACGCTAATTATAGACGCTATTGTTTAGAGGTCACAGGTAACCGCCTTCAAAATGACTCCACGGACAATGTTTTTACAATAATTATCACCACTGCAAGAAAGGTGTGAAAAGTCGCTCCTCGAAAAATTACCGTCCGGATAAACGAGTCATTTTTCAATGAAAGATTGCGTTTTGTAGTAGAAATTGACCGTCCGGATCCGGAACGCGAATTTCCGGATTAATGAGACAGAATAACGTGGAAAAAATCGGTTCCCAAAAAATATCGTCCGGAAGGTGAAGCGTCCGGATTATTGGCGTCCGGATTACCGCGGCGCCACTGTATTGTATAATTTCATTGGCGGATTTAAAGGGGGAGTATATATTGTATGTATATATTGAGATTAAGAAATCTTTTTTTTCTGTTAGATATTGTATTTATTATACGTCACCCAGACCCTTAACCTTGTGCCCTCCCCTTTTTTTCAAGTATGCTGGATCCGTCACCGAATTTAGCACAAATATAATAGAATAACATTTAATTAAAGAATATAAAGATGAACTTAATACAGTTCATAGCTCAGATTGCCTTAATTTCTCTGTTAGTTTAAGTCCATACTGCCCCCCCCCCCCCTCAAAAATTAAAAAAAAAAATAAATTCTCATCCGCCAAGAAATGAGGAAAGGGGTAATTTTTTCACTCATGTCTGTCTGTTTCTTTTCCAATGTTCCAAAGACCTTTTTTAAGAAAGTTTTTTTTTATATGCAAAATGCATCAAATAGGTTTTGTGGTAAATCAATTACAATATGAGGATGCTGGAAATTTTCCCACGATTTTTTTCTTTACAGAATTGTAACCTGAAAAGAGACAAGTAACTCAAAAATGTATACAACATGCACTTAAAGCTTACAGGAGTTTTTATTTTAAGTACGGTATTCCTGTTATGTATGTTTTGATTGTTAATTATATTTATCTTCTTTTTTTAATTACATTAAGCTATAGCTCGTAAGTCTAAATTTCAGTAAAATATTTATTTTCGTTTAATAAACAGTTATGCTCTTGAAAAGTAATTGAGGGTCAATATCATTTGAACAAAAAAAATTAGCTTAGATTCAGATTAAAATTTTTACAACTCTCATATTCATTCGAAAATAACGCACAATTCTACGGAAGACCGTTTAAGACCTATTAAAAAAATGTTGAATTCGACATAACATTATCGAATTTGTTATAACGAATTAAATTTGATATTTGTTGAATTCTTTATAAGGAATTCAAAAGTTTATTTTAACAGATTAAATTCCTTTAAACGAATTCTTAAATTTGTGATACCGAATTAAATTTGTTTAATCGAATTCGACATTTAGGGCCTGTAGAAAAATATTTATGAATTCGATATAACAAATTTTAGAATTCGTTGAAACGAATATAATTCGTTATAACAAATTTAAGAATTCGTTATAACAAATTCAATAAATTTGTTTAAACAAATTAAATGCGATATAACGAATTAAAAAAAAAATGATATGACGAATTGAATACGTCTTAACAAATTTGACAATTCAACAAAATAAACAAAAATTATGAATTTTGCTTCAAATCATACAATGTTATTTCAAATTTTTCAGTTGTTTTAAAGTAATCGAGTACTTTTTCTTACTTTTCTGTAAAGTTGTTTGTATATTATTTGTTATTTTCAAAAGCGAATTAAGGCCACAAATATTGTGAGATAAACATATTTTAACAGCAAATCTTTCATAGTTTTTACTTGCTCTCTATTCATATATTATACCTTGAATTTTAGGTACCTATGGAGAACTCAACAGAATCCTTAGGGCTCACACAGAAGCAGTGCTTCTCATGGATGAAAGAGACCTTAACAAAACCCAATGTAACTCTTGAAGAAATAAACCAGCAACATATTCGTCGTTTCCATGGAGGCCTCGCTTTACTAGGCTTCGTAATAATGGCCGGGATGATCGGAAATATGCATGTGCTAGTGCTATATTACAAAAAATTCAAAGTGTCCAATTATCGGCTTTTTATCATTTGGTTAACATGCCTAGACATGATAAATTGTTGTGTCAGTGCGCCACTTATAATATTTTACCTGCTCCACCCAATCACCTACCCGTATGAGGGATTTTGTAAAATGACCCGGTTCATTTTGTACTTCTGTGCGATTGCCTCCACTTCCGCTATGGTTGTCATAGCAATAGAAAGGTACAGGAAGGTCATGACGCCCCATTCAACGCAGATATCTCTGAAAATGGCTAAACTTATGTGTTTGGTGAGTTTAGTGGTTGCTGCAGGTCTCTCTTGGCCAGCTCCAATATTGTTCGGACTTACACACGTTCCAACTGGTGTGGACGGTTTGGAGGGAATTCGATGCCTAACAGATGACACATACAAACATACAAACTATATGTCTTTATATCATTTCACTACGCTTGTGTATTTTGTGATTGTGTCGATTTGCCTTATCGTTGTCTATGTATGCATTGCCAAAAGAGTCCTTAAATCTGGAAAATTTAAAGATCGCGTCAGTGGTGTTCCTTTAACTTCAGACACTCGAGCATCAACCAGTAGTTGCGTCTCTAAGACCGTCACCAAGACTGTCACTTTTTTGACAGTGACGTTGGCTTATATCGCATGCGCAACGCCCCATCATGCTTTGGCTTTACTCTTCTTTCTATCGCGTAATCTTGACTGCAGATTGTCGCTTGTTGAGGCCCAGCTCTATTATGCCTTTGTATGGTCGTATTTTCTGAATAGCATGATCAACCCATGTATATACGCATACCGTGACAAAAAGTTTAGAGAAGAGCTGGAGTCTTTCTATAGACGTTGTCGACCTAAGACACTTTACAGTTCTTCTAAATGAGAAACAATCTTCTAAATATAAAAAAACAGCCAAAATTGTATTGATAATTTTTTTTTTTTTTGGTTATGCTTCAACATTGTATATGTTTGTTTGTTTTGCCAGGTCTTTCATTCCAAACTGATTGTTGAAATAAAAGTTCAATGTATTACTTAAATATTTGTATACACAAAAGAAAACGCATGTTGTACTCGGATCCAACCTATAAATGTACAGTATATAATTGATAAAAGGGTGAAATGAAATAGCCAATAATAACGAACAGTAAAGAGGGCATAAAAGTTAAACACAGACCCCCGGAAGTTCCGGAGGTGGAATCAGGTACCTAGGAGGAGTAAGCATCCCTTGTCGACCGGTCACACCCGCCGTGGGCCTTATGTATTGATCAGGTAGACGGAATACTCCGTAGTAAAATTTAGTACAAAAACAAAGGTCTAATAATTGTTGTGTAGTATGTCTGTCAAAATACGGCCCAATGATGGGATGTTTTTGCTAACAAAGGTCATTTCAAAGACCATAGAATTTACGAAATGCTGACTTAAAACGAGGTTGTTTAAATCCCAGTAACATCAACTTATCTGTCAGTAGCCTGCTTCAGTTTAAAAATCGATCGTACACAGAGCATGCTCTTGAGTATAAGTTGGGAGACATAAACATTATGCAGGTGATAGTGGAATATGGTATAACTACATAAATAAGGAAAGTTGACGATGGAAAAGCTGAAGTCATCTCGTTTGTCATACAATTCAGTTGCCAGTTGGTCCTTATCGTCTATAGTCAGTAAAACATCCAATATGAAACAGATGTGGCAGACTCTGTGGTGTCTTTTATTTCAAATCACTGGGATATATCGAGTCGACATATGAATGGAGGTAACTACCGAGCATTTTAATTATATCGTCGACATATCTGAATTTCGAGTTGAAGGCCACAGTGAGTTTTCTTCTCAAGTAGAAGTTTTTGAATAAATTATGCTTCATAGGAATATAAAGACAGGTCGGCTAATAAAGGAGCACAATTAGTGCTCATCGAAATTCCAACGGCTTGTTGGACGACCTGGTCTCCTAATACTACATAGATGTTGTCAATGAAGAACTCCATCATCTTTTTGATATCAACTTCAGAGTACATGTACTTGTGTGCAGAATCAGTGATTTTTTTAATAAAGTAGTTTTGTTGATGACCAATCACAAGATTTGAAAATTTCAGAGTTCCATTTTTATTGAAGCAGTTGTCTATGATAACAAAAAAGCCTAGTATTAATTTATTGTGAGGAATGGTTGTAAAAAGTACAACAGATGCATGTAGCTCTTTCACTTGGTCAATCCATATCTAAACAAACAAGAAAACACATCGACCTTGCACTTAGTGCTTGGCCGATATGCTTATCTGTGAAGTGTATATATCTAGACACGTAGTTTGGATACTAAAATTAGATTTATTGATAATTGAAATAGAAAATCTCCATTATAGAAATATGTGGGAGGCGCAAGTAATGAAAGAAAGGAATGTTGAACTACATGTAAACGTATTAGGTGATAACATTTTAAATCTTGCATGTTATAGTCAAAGAGAAACTGTTTTCTATCATTTGTAAGCATCAGCTCCCTTTGCAAAGCTCATATGATTGAGCAAATTTCCAGTGGTTGCACCTTTGAAAGAAACTATTTATTATTACTCCATAAATAATTTAAAAAAATATCTTTAAAACTTTTCTGTTACTCATAATAATAAATTTCATGTTGCTAGTAGCTACGAATGCGGGACGGTTCGCCCCCAAAAGATCATTCGCTCTAAGACGTTTCGCTCCCTGAGGATTTGTGTCAGATGCACCCAATGATTTCCTCAAATTAAATCGTAATTATCCCTTGTTAGTAGTAATATTACCTTTCCAGTGAGTATTACTTTTAATTATTTTATGACTATTCCGTTTTACTATTTTTGTATATTGTGTCTTTGTTGAATAAAGTATTACCATGTCACAAAATGCATTTTTATATTTTGTTTAATGGATTTACTGATCTGAGATACGTCTGTTTTGAGCAAACGATATTTTATAGTGACATGTGCACTTACATTTTATTCAAATTAACTAAATCAAACAACCGATCCATACACATTTGTTACGCACTTTTTCTCATTATTAAAAACAGCAGTTGGATGTTTTTTCGAATTAAAAAAGTACTTTCTATAAACAACTTAGAAATTAATATGTTTATGAAACATATATTCAGACCCTTAATAACATATTTCCATTTTTTCGGGGGCGGAGGGCAACATAAATATAATTTACACAAAGTCTACACGAACACACTATTCAAATCGTTCTTTCCTTTTTTCTATTCCTCTTCAATCGAAATTATGAAAATAGACGAAAATGTTAATCAGTTAATAGTACGGTGACTATAAAGATGAACAGAAGAAGATTTATATATTGTATTTTTATTTAGGCCTAATATCCCTAGTTGATTTTGTAATACCGATTCATACTTAATACCGTCTCAAATTTTAAACATCATCTTTAATGGAGAGTCTCCATTTTAGTTTTAACACCTTAGGAGACTTAATTAGTCAGTTATGATTGCAGAATAAACATTATTAAATCAGCATGTGGGTATTTTTTTTATTAATGAACTTGAAATAATCTGTAAGCAAAAAATAAGCTGTAATATTTTTTTTATTTCGTTTTTTTCCCAAAATAAAGTCAAAATAAACTTTATATGTAAATAGATATAAACATCGATAATATTATATTAGATTATTATGCAGCGCGAAACGTCTCAGCGAAAAAGGTCTTCAGGGCGAATGGTCTCGGTGTGAATCGTCAACAGGGGGCGAAACATCCCGTACCGTAGCTACATGTACCTACATGCATAATGAAGCCCCTATATACTAATTTTCCCACATAATTAAGGATGTTCGGACAATCCCTCACAACATTATATGTCAGTCTAAAGAAATCCATACATACAGATCTGTAAAAACACTTGATCTTTACTGAGGTGAACATGGTATATCAGTAAAGCAAGAGGGTTAGAATTAAAATGTATCATGAATCAAAACAACAATCATTTACGGATCTCTTTTATTCAGTACAAATGTTTTAATATAAATGTACCAGTATCACTGAATGTAATTTTCACAATGTTCATCCCACATGGACATCATCTAGACTTGGCATAATCCTCTTTTTCCTTGATTTCTTTCTCAATTTTCTTTATAATTGGGTCAAGGTAAAGTCTATCCTACAAGACAAAGTACAAAACAACATAAAAACCGATATATATATATATATATATATTTTTTATTGTAAAGGATATCTTATTCAAACGAGTGTATAACTAGAAAATTGAAGAAGTCATGCAGCACCCAACAGGGTACTTTTGTCTAACTTTTGGTGTTGAACTCTGAGCAAGTGACATTAAAATCAGGAGATGATTTATAAAAATATCTACTGAATTATGCAATCTACTATAAGTTGAAACAAATTTTTTGTTTAATAAAAGGGTATTTATTGAAAGCCCAAGGGCCTTAACAGTCACCTTTACTGTAAAGGATCTATAGAAGTATAACATAAATCAGACTGATAGAAAAAGCTATGTTGCCTAAAAGCAAAATAATTAGTCTTGTACTCCTTAATAAATCTTAAACTAGATTTAAGGACATTGGCAAGTCAGGGTTTTCCGGAGAAAAAAGGTTTAATACATGGGTTTTTTCGCTTATAAAATAGTGATTGAGACTGATCTCCCGTGTAGAATTCTCTAAGCGGTGAAAACCAATAAAGCGTATGTTACAGAGGTGAACATAAGCACGTGTACCTCTTTCAACGGGTAGAATCATCTATACAGCAAGAAAGAAAAGCTGTAATGGCTTTGTTGTACATTGTATTCAGGGACAAAGAGCCAACAGGTCATTATTTACCATAGTTATGCTCAGTTTGCTGGAAAGGGCAAAGATGTGACATATGCTGAAAGGTAGGTCGACCATGCCGACTGAGAACAGTTCTTAGGTCATGTGAAGGAATCGGCATTTAGTAACTACGAATAAAAGTTAAAAATAAATCCATGACAATATTTTTATGACAATGTGTTTCAATTCAGTCAATTACATGATAAAACAATCAACCAGTCTCTTGACCAATTTTAGCTGTTAAGGGACGCAACTCAAAAATAATGATCGGTGCCGGTATATCCATGTCTTGTTTCTAAATATACATTTTTAGCCAAAATATCTAGAAGTCATAGGAAATGAAGATACAATAATGTATATAATACAAAAGCTGTATGAAATAAATGGGTTTTGAAGAAATATTATGGTGAAAAATTAAGTAGGTCCCTTTTATTGACATTTTACATAGGAAATGCATTAAGAATTGTGAAAACACTAATTTGACAAAATCTAAAAAAGAATGATGGATTGGTAGGTAAAACGATCCAGAATATAGCCTGTTTAGTACATTTAAACCTACTCAAAAGTTCTTGAAAAATTCTATACAATAACCAGGAACCTTGCCAATGTCCTTAATTACTTGCCTGTACCTGCCCCCATTTGTCACCATTATCTTATAAACTAAACAAGCAAATCAAAAAATTGTGATCCCCGGCTTTCAGTGTCTTAGTGGTTGGGAAGCAATTACGTATGTCATTTATGGCATATTGTAATGCACATGTCAAATATAAATTCAGTATCTTTTCTCATTCAAAAGATTAGCAGTAATATTAAAATATTTGAAAATTAGGTCAAACTTTAAGATCAAGGTCATGGGGTTAAAATCATAGTAACAGTTTGGAAACATCTTGTCACAGGTAATGCACATGTCAATTATGGATGGCCCATCTTCTCTCAATCAAAAAATATCAGCAATGATAAAACTTTTGAAAATAAAGTCAAACTTAGAGGTCAAGGTCACTGAGTCAAATATCAGCATCTTCGGAAATGTCTTGTCACAGGTAATGCACTTGTCAAATATGAATGCCCTTTCTCCTCTAATTCGAAACTAGCTATCACCATGTTAAAATATTAGGTCAAACTTCATGTCAAGGTCAAGGGGTCAAATTAGGTCAAACTTCATGTCAAGGTCAAGGGGTCAAATACCATAACATGTTTGGAAATGTCTTTTCACAGTTAATGCACAGATCAAATATGAATGCCCTATCTTTTCTTACTGAAAAGTAATAAACCATTTTAAATTTTTTTTAAATTAGGTCAAACTTCAGGGTCAAGGTCACAGAGTCAAAAATCAATGTATATTTGGAAAGGTCTTGTAACAGGTATTGTACAGGTGAAATATGAAAGCTATCTTTCTCATCACTCAAAAGTTATGAACAAGATAAGTTGTGTTGAAATTTTTGAAAATCAGGTCAAACTTCAAGGTTAAGTTCATGGGGTCAAAAATCAGAGTATATTTGGAAAGGTCCTGTCACAGGTAATGTGTGTATGAGATATACAAGGCTTAGCTTTTCTCATTCAAAAGATATGACCAAGTTAATTTTTTTGACAGACTGACAGATGAACAACCTGACTCATGAATGATATTTTATGTCCCCTTGCTTTTGCAAAAGTGGGGAAAGCAAAACAACAGTGCTTAAGCACTAGTGGTAAACCCATCTTATTCCTTCTCACATTGGCTTCTCTTGGTCTATGAAGAACATTTAATGTACAAAGATAAGGTAATTTTGTCTCATTTTTATTTATTTATAATTAACAATTCTTTTTGACCATTAAGAACTATAAAAGTACTTTTTGTATTATATATTATAAAAATTCTTGTATAAATCTCTTATTAAATTGACCTTTCAATTACATTATTTACAGTGATTAATTATCATAGGTGATTTGCAAAGGGGAATAACTTCTACAATACAAATTAATAGAGCCCTGTCCAGCACGAACACACTTGACCAAGTGGTTCACTTTACCCCTGATGACTCTAGGGCTACAAATTTCAAATTCTGAAAGAGGCATCCTTGCCCCTCATGACTATGCATTTAATTTTGTATTAATTTTGCTTAATATCCAGGATCTGAGAAGATGATTTTGAAAGAAATAATGCATTTTCACTATATAATCAATAGAGCCCTGTCTGAACACCAGAACCCTTGACCAAGGGGCCATGACATAGACAATTTTGGAGGAGGCAGCCTTTCTCATGCACTTAGTTTATCTACTAAATATCCAGGCGCAGAGAAAATTTTCAAGGAATTTATGCATTTCACTATATAGTCAATAAAGTCCCACCCTAACACTAGAGCCCCTGACCTTTTGGCCATGATATTCACAACATTGAAAAAGGCACCCTTGTTCATCATAGCCATGCACTTAGTTTGATTGCTTAATACCCAGAAGCTGAGAAGAGATTTTAAAAGAAATAATGCATTTTCACAATATTCTCAAGACCCCCCCCCCCCCCCCCACACACACACACATCAGTACTCCTGAGTGACCGAGGAACCATGAAATTCATAGTTTTGGAAGATGCACCTTGCTCACAGCGACTTTGCTAAATACCTAGCAGCAGAGCAAAAGATTTTCAAAGAAATACCGCATAAGTGGAATTTTTAGTGAGAAGCAAATTTAGCACTTTACCTAAAAATTTTTTATTGAATTTTAGCTAGAACTAATTTTAGCATTTTAATGATGCCTAAAAAGACAACAGTTTCCCCAAATGCAGAATGAATTGTTAGCGGTATTCAATTTTAGCGATCTCAATACCCTCGCTAAAAATGCCAAAATTGAATCCTCGCTAAAATTTCTATTTGTATAGTAATGTCTTTTCACTATAAAATCAAAAGAATCCCCCCAATACAAAAACCCCTGACTCTAGAACCACAAGTTTCATAATTTTGGAAGATAAATGGTTGCTCATTATAACTACATGGATGCACTTCGTTTAACAGCTTAATACCGAGGAGCAGATAAGTTTTTCAAAGAATTTATGCATTTTCACAATATAATAAAACCAGAAGTCTCTGATGAGACTGTAGCTCTACTGGTCTGTTTGTATAACAAAAGAAAAGTAGCACTTGGATTTGAAACATTGCAACATGCAACAATAAATAGAATTATGTATCTTAATGTAGTCTACTTCTGTGCCGAGTTATATTGAAATCAAATGAAAACTGTAGGAGGAGTAGCGTTTTGAAAGTATTTCAGGGAAATTTCTATTTTTAGTAACCATGACAACACCATTCACCCAAATAAAAAGAAACAGAAATACATATTATGTATCGTAGTGCATTCTAACTGTGTGCCAAATTAGATTGAAATCAGACCAAAATTGTAGGAGGAGTAACGTTTAATGGGAATTTCACAAAAATTTCTATTTTAAGTAACCATGGCAACACTGTTCATCGAATTCAAAAACCAATGCAATAAATTATGTATCTTAGTATAGTCTTCTTGTATGCCTAATTATATTAAAAGCAGACTAAAACTGTAGGAGGAGTAGTGTTTTAAAGGAATTTCACAGAAATTTCTATTTTTAGTAACCATGGCATCACCGTCCATCGAAATCAAAAACCGATGCACTAAATTATGTATCTTAGTGTAGTCTACTTGTGTGCCAAGTTATACTGAAATCGGACCAAAACTGTAGGAGGAGTAGCGTTTTAAAGGAATTTCACAGAAATTTCTATTTTTAGTAACCATGGCAACACCGTCCATCAAAATCAAAAACCGATGCACTAAATTATGTATCTTAGTGTAGTCTACTTGTGTGCCAAGTTATATTGAAATCGGACCAAAACTGTAGGAGGAGTAGCGTTTTGAAAAATTGTTTACAGACAGACGGACAGACAGACAGACAGACGGACGACGGACACCTTACTATCGCTTAAGCTCTTCTGGTCTCTGACCAGTAGAGCTAAAAAAAAACACCCTAAAATCAGAACCCCTGACCCAGGGGCCATAAAATTGGTAATTTTCATCATAACTATACATTTAGCTTGTTTGCTTAATACCCAGGAATAAGAAAGATTTTAGATGAAATAATGCATAATCAATAGAGCCCCAACACCACATCCCTGAAGCAGGGGCAATGAAATTCATAGTTTTGGAAGAAGGCCTCAGCTCATTATAACCATGCACTTAAATTATCTATTAACAAGAGGCCCATGGGCCACATTGCTCACCTGAGCACACTGGCTAGACTAAGGCACAAACCAGTTCAGTAATGAACGGTGGGGGGGGGGGGGGGGGGGGGCTTGAATTTTAAACTACCTGATGATGCTTTCATGTCAATATAACAAATGAATTTGTTGTACTTGAGAAGATTTTAAAAGAATTTTCCCATTTATTCCTTTGTAAAAATTTGATCCCCCATTGTAGCTCCTCCCTATCTCAGGGGTCATCATTTGAACAAACTTGAATCTACATTACCTGAGGATGCTTCCATATCAATAAGACTAACATAGCTTTTCTGTTCTTGAGAAGAAATTTTTTTTTCTATATGTTCTTATGTAAAACTTTCGATCCCCCATTGGGCCCCACCCTACCCCCGGGGGTCATCATTTGAACAAAATTGAATCTACACTACCTGAGGATGCTTCCATATAAATTTGACTCATCATGGCTTTGCTGTTCTTGAGAGGAAGATTTTTCCTATATATTTCTATGTAAAACTTTGATCCTCCATTGTGGCCCCGCCCTACCCCCGGGAGCCATGATTTGAACAAAATTGAATCTACACATCCTGAGGATGCTTCCATATAAATATGACTCTTCATGGCTTTACTGTTCTTGAGAAGAAGATTTTTAAAGATTTTTCCTATATATTTCTATGTAAAACTTTAATCCTCCATTGTGACCCCGCCCTACCCCCGGGGGTCATGATTTGAACAAAATTGAATCTACACTTCCTGAGGATGCTTCCATATAAATATGGCTCTTCATGGCTTTGCTGTTCTTGAAAAGAAGATTTTTAAAGATTTTTCCTATATATTTCTATGTAAAACTTTGATCCTCCATTGTGGCCCCGCCCTACCCCCGGGGGTCATGATTTGAACAAACTTGAATCTACACATCCTGAGGATCCATCCATATAAATATGACTCTTCATGGCTTTACTGTTCTTGAGAAGAAGATTTTTAAAGATTTTTCCTATATATTTCTATGTAAAACTTTGATCCTCCATTGTGACCCCGCCCTACCCCCGGGGGTCATGATTTGAACAAATTTGAATCTACACTACCTGGGGATGCTTCCATATGAGTTTCATCTTTCCTGGCCCTGTGGTTCTTGAGAAGAAGATTTTTTAAAGATGCTATTCATTTTTCACTTATTCTTAATTATCTCCCCTTGAAAGAGGGCGTGGCCCTTCATTTGAACAAACTTGAATCCCCTTCACCCAAGGATGCTTTGTGGCAAGTTTGGTTGAAATTGGCCCAGTGGTTCTGGAGAAGAAGTTGAAAATGTGAAAAGTTTACAGACAGACGGATAGATGGACTACAGACAAAATGTGATCAGAAAAGCTCACTTGAGCTTTCAGCTCAGGTGAGCTAAAAAGGTAAGCAGAAAAGAAGATATTCAAAGAATTAATGCATTTTCAGTGTATAATCAATAGAGCACCACACAGACACTAGAACCCTTGACCCACAGGCTATAAAATTCACTATTTTAGAAGAGGCACCCTTCCTCATCATAACCATGCCCTACATTAATTTGCTTAATAAACAGGAGCAGAGAAGAAGATTTTCAAAGAATTAATGCATTTTCACTATATAATCAAATACAGCCCCTCTCCCTACACCAGAAACCCTAACCCTGGGGCCACAAATTTCACAATTTTGGAAGAAGCACCCTTGCTCATCATTGCTTAATAAACAGATGGAGAGGAGATGGTTTTTAAAGAATTTATGCATTTTCACTATATGATCTAAGAGCCCCATCCTAACTCCAGAACCCCTGACCCCAGGGCCATGAATTTCACAATTTTGGTAGGGGGCTCAATGCTTATTACAATCAAGCCAACAGTTCAACTGCTTGATGTCCAGGAGTAAAGATTTTAAAGATTTTGATTTTAATGGTTTTAGCCCCTTCCCCCAGGCCCAAGGGACAGGAACCATGAAATTCATAATTGTTGTTCTCCTTCACTCATATATGATATATGCCAAAAATGACTGGAATTGGTTCAGCAGCTCAAGAGAAGAAGCTGAAAATGTTCAAATGTTAATGGACGATGAAATCACACAACGCACGACAAATGACAAAAACGGATTGCAATAGGTCACCGAGTGACTCAGGTGACTAACAATCGGGATTTCTTTGATTTGGTACAGAATATGTATAGCTGTCTTTAGCATTCTCTAACTTTTGTTCACCTACACAGCTAAAAAATACTTTTTAGGTTAAGAGTTACACATATTAAAGATACAGAATCATCTTAATGTGTAATTGTCATTACAATAACCTTGTGATCTTTGGCTATGGCTTTTGTTCTCAGGTGACACCAAAAGGTAAAATCTTATGCAACATCTGATAAAGAATAAATTGAAATTGCTTCCTACGGGCCTGACCAGAACAGGCTATTACCGTGCCATCTTAGCACACCTACATTGCAAACCTTTGTGATAATTTTCTATACATGGCCACCAAAAGTTACATTTATCAGTAAATGAAAGAAAAAGACATACATGTATAGGAAACTTACATCATCTAATTCTGTCCACTGATCTCTTGGTAACGTCATTTTAGCATTATTTAACACAACAGCTCTGGCAATCCTAAAATTCCTGGCCTCTAAATCAGCCCTGGGAAGCCTTGTCAATGCTTCTCTTAGGACGGCACTCTCTCTTCTCATGTCATCTCTCCATAAACCTTTTCAAATATATGGAAGATTATCTTCTTAAAATAGCATATGAACATACAGGTAATTTTATTCAATTCATTCTTTACCATAACAAATAATTCATTTTAAACACCACGTAAGTCAGATATACAGTCAAACCTCAATATCTTGAACTTTGTAACTTCGAGATATTGAGATTCGAAATACTGTAGTTCACCAGCATTTCATCAGAGACATAAACAACAGAGATTTCAAAATGTTTGAAATCTTGTTATCACTATTGTTTACTTTTTCCCCAAATCTCGCTGTTTAAATCATTTAAAAATCTTTAAAATTATCAAGGATATTATTGAAGTAAAATCTTTTTATTTATGTCAACAAATTATTCAGAATGTTATATTTTCATATATTTACATTTTCCAACGTCTTTCTCTGAGAAAAAACTACAAATAAGGTAATGGCTTTATATCCCCATAAAGCCATTTGCTCAGCACGTGACAGAACTGCATGCTTTTTTTGCTGCGTTGCTTAGTAATACACTTGGCTGGGATGCTGAGATTTCTTATTATTGAATTTTTTTATTGAATCAAGGATCGGGTAAAAATGTAAATATAAGAATTAACTGTCTGGTTTTTTGGTTTTATGATAATGATCAATCAATATGCTCACGTGATAATTTTACGCATAACGCCTTCGGAGTTTATGCAAATTATCAGGCGAGCAAATTGATTGATCACATCATAAAACCAAAAAACTAGACAGTTATTCCTTAAATAAAGTTTTTTTTTCAATACAAATGAGGAATCTAAAGAAACACAAAAGGTGACCTGTGGTCAGACACATCTTTGAGATTTTGCCAACTTTTGATCATCGACTTCTTTATTTGCATAATTTAATATTATTTTATATCAATGTATTGATGTTATTCATTTAAGAAATAAAGTCCCCGTTATCGGGAATGTTGCAGGATAACCTCCGAGGTCGAGAAATGTTGTCTGAGATATAAAAGCTGAGGCTTTTATACCTGGTATTTCAGACAACATTTTGAGACTGAGAAAGTTATCCTGCATCATTCATGACAACAAGGACTTTATTTCTATTCTACTAACAGCTCTAAAATACGGTGGATCATTTCCTTTCTAGTGAAACGAATAAGGTCACCATGTCACTGTTCCATTTAACACCAGAGTCAATTTGTTTGTTTACTTGTGTATTGATTGCATAAAGAGCAGAGGATTTCAGCTTTTGTTGGATTAAAAATATCCTTTAATTATTTATAAATTTGTTTGTAACATATATTGATTAATTTTTATGAAATCAATGTAAAAAAACAAAAGCAGTAGTCTATTTCATTGCTTTATCTGTAAAATCACAGAGTGTAAATGTTGTGGGAAGGTCCCTGGAACAGCCTGCCTTGGCTAAAAAAGGATATTTATCAGCTGTTTCAGGCAATACACACTACTATTTAGACTGCGTAAGACAACATATTGATATGGTCTGTAAATAAGCATTAGATTCTACAGTGAAATATTTATTTCAACTGTACAGTTTTGACATGCGTTTCTGATCTGATAATTTTTTGATGACGTTCGTGATTTATTGGAGAATAATGTCTGCGTCATTTCTTTGATCTCGTCAATAGCTGTGGTAGAATTTTTTAATAATGATGAGAAATACGTAAGTTTATGACGTAATCATAATTTTCAGAATGACAGATTTCAGGCTCATCTCTGACTGATGACAGCGGTGGGGATCTCCATTAGGCCAAAAAAAAATAATAGTCTTGTTTCCTGCTACCCGACCGACCCTATTTTTTTGCGCCTGACCCTAAAGTTTTTTTTTTAGGTTTTGGAAGAAAAAAATCGGGGATTTCCAGAACTTCATTGTTCTGTCACTGTAAATGGTTCCGTGTTAACACAAAACAAACCTTTCATGAAATTCTGTTTTAAATAAGGACTTTCATAAAATACCACTTGAGTTCAGGGATCGACATTAACGGTTGTCCGATTGCCCGGGACAAGTAAATTCTCGGTTTGGGCAAGTGAAACTGTCGAGGTACATGTACTTGTCAGATCGGGCAAGTAAATTTTTCTCATAGAAATGTACATATTTATTAAGTTTACATTAAGTTATAAATAAAACAATAAATTGAACACTTGATTTCCGCCAGGTACCTGACTGACATTGTTTTTGCATTCAGAATTCCTCAGTAGCATTTCTTGATTATACCTTTCATTTAAAAATCGGGTTCATTATTCTGTTTTCTTTCGTGGTAAATACGCTCTATGTCTAACAACTTTGTTAACTTCTTATTAGGAAATTAGATTATTTATCCACTCACAGAATATAAGAACAGTGTATCGTGATCAAGATAAAAAATGTAGGTTAAATAGCAACTATATTCTTTTAGCGCTGCTTCACAGTTATCTCTGAGAATTATGATTCACAAAAGGATCCTACCAAAAATAATTTTTATAAATATGAATTCTATTAAAAGAAAACAGAGGGTTATTAGTACATGGTAGTGTGTGTTAACAGGTCAAATTTACCAGGACAGTAGTATACGTTTATGTACAAATGCCACACCAAATTTTTTTCAGGTAGCTCAGTTTGCCAAATTGACAGTAGTGTATTTGGTCACATTTTTTCTTACATTTACAGTAATAAATAGTTTTCTTCTTAAGTTCTTTCCTTATTTTGGACAACCAAGTTTTGCATTCGGACAAGTCAAAATTTAAAATCACTTGCCCGAAGGGCAAGTCAAATTAGTCAATCTTGAAGTTAATGTCTATCCCTGGAGTTGTGCATCAAAAGACATCAAATTTAATTTTAAAAGACAATATTGACCTACTACATGTTTAATTTGATCTTGTATTAGTTCATATCCAAAAAATGACGTTGGAAAAAAATAGAATTAAAAAATAAAATAATTTTCCTACCTACCTACCCTATTTTTTCATGCTGGTAGCAGGAAACAAGACTATTATTAGGTCTTTCCACCTTTCTGTGGAAAGACCTATTGAAATTGTTCTGTTTATTATTATTAGGTCTTTCCACCTTTCTGTGGAAAGACCTCTTGAAATGCTTATGTTTATTATTAGGTCTTTCCACCTTTCTGTGGAAAGACCTCTTGAAATGCTTATGTTTATTAGGGTCTTCCGTCTTCAGCGGAAGACCCTTCTATTATTCTTAGGTTTCTTTTTTACCTTTATTATTATTATTATTATTATTATTATTATTCTTTTTTCTCCTTACAAAATTTGTGCAGAGGATTTCTCGGAGATGGCTCGTTCGATTTTATTCAAATTTTCAAGGTAGATGCGTTGACATCTGAAGTTAATTCCGGCAAGTCCATTAAGGGATATTTACTTCCGGTCGAGAGTTATCGCCCTTTTATTAAATTTCAGATGACCTCCTTGTCTGCGATGGAACTCAAAAACGGCTTAAGCTAGAGTGCTGAAATTTTCAGTGATGATAGAGGACATGTTGCCATTTTGCACCTGGGTTTGGATATTTTCCGGAAGTGCCTAGTATGGAAGCTCGGTAGGGGTCGAAATTTAGGACACGAATCATGATTGAATTTTTGAGACATTTTGTATCATATCTTTATAAGTATAATTATTTTGTTAAAACATACTGAACAATATTTGTGCAAAATGACAAGATCATTAATATGATATCAAGAAAAAAGGGCTGACTCATCATATGAGGGGCCGAGAGGGGCCAAAAGTCTTTAATCTATAACTCTTAAACAAGCAATATTTTTGTATACATTATTGAAGCAAAAATGTTCATATTTACAATCTGCAACCATATATTTTAAAATTTTTATCAAATATTACGTAATTAGGGGCCATAAGGGGCCAGAATGTTTAATCTTTGACAATTTATATCTCCAAAAGGGGAAACATTTTGAAAAGCATTATTGAACAAAAGTTGTTTAAAATGATGTTCTCAACAATGTGCATCCCTTCAATTTTTCCTAAACAACCCCTATAAGGACTTAAAGGGACGGCCCCTAAAAGTTTCAAGGCTACATATCTTGAAAACGAAACGAAACTTCTCAACAGTTGTTGAACAAAAAGTCTTCAGAATTACAAGACCTTTCATGTGATATCAAGAAAAAGGGGCTGACCCCTCAAATTAGGGGCTCAGAGGGGCCAAAAGTCTTTAATCTATAACTCTTTAACGTTAAATAATTTGATATTAATTATTGAAGCAAAAATGTTCATCTTCACAATCTGCAACTATATATTTTAAAATTTCATCAAATATTACGTAATTAGGGGCCATAAGGGGCCAGAATGTTTAATCTTTGACGATTTATATCTCCAAAAGGGGAAACATTTTGAAAAGCATTATTGAACAAAAGTTGTTTAAAATGATGTTCTCAACAATGTGCATCCCTTCAATTTTTCCTAAACAACCCTTTTAAGGACTTAAAGGGACGGCCCCTAAATATTTCAAGTCTACATATCTCGAAAACGAAACGAAACTTCTGAACAGTTGTTGAACAAAAAGTCTTCAGAATTACAAGACCTTTCATGTGATATCAAGAAAAAGGGGCTGACCCCTCAAATTAGGGGCTCAGAGGGGCCAAAAGTCTTTAATCTATAACTCTTTAACGTTAAATAATTTGATATTAATTATTGAAGCAAAAATGTTCATCTTCACAATCTGCAACTATATATTTTAAAATTTCATCAAATATTACGTAATTAGGGGCCATAAGGGGCCAGAATGCTTAATCTTTGACGATTTATATCTCCAAAAGGGGAAACATTTTGAAAAGCATTATTGAACAAAAGTTGTTTAAAATGATGTTCTCAACAATGTGCATCCCTTCAATTTTTCCTAAACAGCCCCTATAAGGACTTAAAGGGACGGCCCCTAAATATTTCAAGTCTACATATCTCGAAAACGAAACAAAACTTCTGAATACTTGTTGAACAAAAAGTCTTCAGAATTACAAGACCTTTCATTTGGTATCAAGAAAAAGGGGCTGACCCCTCAAATTAGGGGCTCAGAC